TATATTTCTTCTTCTCTCTCTCTCTCTCTCTCTCTCTCTCTCTCTCTCTCTCTCGTTAAGTTAATTTCATCAAGCGTTATCACAAGCAATTATTTGTTCGACTCTAAATTCATAGAAAATTGCCGGTTATCTTGCTTCACTTTGCATTATTATGCCTGATCATAATTACTACTGAAAACCAAAATCACTTTGTAACTTCCACATTAACGGAGAAATTCATCCTCGTTGTCCAACAAGGAGTCTAAGTAGCTAAAGTAGCTATGCACACATAATTTAATGGGAGTTTAACTCACCGGCTGGAAGGTGAATTTGCAGACAGCATAAAGCACTATTTTAAATACATTTCATGTATATATGGTTGCAAAACACCTTTTAAGCTCACAACTACTTTATTTTAGAAATATATTTTTACTTATTAATTATTAAAATAAATATGTACCAAGTAGCTTACACAAATGTTTTATTCTGATTTTTATTATAACTTAATTTAATGAAACAGAATTAAATTAATTAAAATTATATTAAATTTTTTTTTCTAGAAACTTAAAAATGAATTTTAAGTTAAATAAAACTTTTGTTAAAATATGTAATAATAATTTCTTGAAAAAGTCGATAAAAAATATTTTTAATATTTTTTAAATATTTATATATTTTTTATAAAAGCATTTTTTAAAATTTATACGGTATTTTTATACATATTTTTATATGTAGAAATATTCTTATGTATAAGGAGCAAGACTCACCTTATGATAAAGCGTTTCATAATCCTCACATAATTTGACGCAATCATCAAGCATTTTCATACTTTTTCTAATCTTTCCCTCAAATACTTCTGTCAGATCGATAAAGCCTTTGCACATGACGACGATCTGGTTGCTAAGTGCGCTGAAGAGATTGCTTATCCTTTCGCGGGTATTGTAGTAAGGAGAGTTCAACCAAATCATCCTGAAGAGATGCATCATTTTCGGCAGATATTGAGCCACGCTCGCCGGAGTTGTACAAGTCTTCAAGTCGGCACAAGGGTCCTTCAGAATGCTCAGGAACTCAATGTTCGATTTCGCTTCAATTATATTGTGCTCGATCTCATCTTTCAACATCAAGAATTGACGTATGTAAGTGGATTGCGTAGCCAATAATATATCGATAATAAGCTCCACCATATTGTTATGTAGCTGATGACTCAGACCGCATAGATTATCATCTATGGCAAAAAGAAACAAGCATGAATTTTTAATATAGTAAATCGTCGATTTATGTACAATTTTTCAAAACCTCGAGATTTAAATTTCTAATTTGTTTATCTATAAATACAGACGTATGTATAAACCAGTAAAAATGTTATATTTATGCGTGCTACGAATATTGTATGATTGAAAACTCTGGATGATATTGAGTTTCTTTCTAACTCTATGAGGTACAAAAGGAAAAAAATGCATTAAAAAAAACTTTTGTCCCTCCTAGGAAATTTCTGGACATATATTATCGGGAAACGATTCTATCCTCTCGCTTCTTTTCGCACGGCTACTACGTCTTTTCTCAAGAGTAAGCACCTACATCGATAAGTCCAGAAGTCATATTCGTCGTCGAGGCACAGTAACTCGTGCGGAGTTGCCTGTTCCTCGGAGAGGGCTATTTTGATTTGGGTGTTCCAGTGGGCCACCACACCCTCCAACCTCTTTACCAACTCCTTATCGGCGCTACCCTCCTCCACGGTGAACTCCCTACTCTCCAGAGGTACATATATCACGGTTAAGCCCAGCATTTTGTACGTGAGGTCCGTTAAATTGCACAGGAAGGTGTCCAGTTGGGTGCAGAAGTTCGCTTTCACACATGTGTTTCGGTGCGATTAAGGAAAAGAAAATCCAGGAACGTGATACGACACCGAACCTCGTTATCGCTGTTCCCAATACCACCATTTTTTATACCGTTCAAGCTGTCCCGGTGTCTATCACGTAGAATTGTAGCATGTATCCTCGCGATACGTCCGCTGATGGAGATTTATTGAGCCGAATTGCTCACTGTATATCGAAAGTGATCGACTACATTGTTATTGTCACATCAATTTATACAATTGACGCGTGCAGTTGTAAATCTTATCGAATATGGAAATTGGAAGAATACAAAAACGTGACGGTTTTGCACTTAAAGTGAAACAACGTATGTAAATCTTAATAATTGGTACGAGAAATTGCACTATACACTTTTTTTTTACGATTTTTAAAAGCGTATTTTGTGAATATTTCATTGAATCCGATCATTCGATATGTACATTTTAAAACTGTAAAACCGTTTGTTAAATATTTTATATCAATTACACTGCTTATTGGAATAAAAGTTAATATTATGAGTCTCATAACAGTAAATCCATAACCGCTGAGTGTACGTCCGGGATAATAAAAAGCGCGCGCAAAGTTGTTGGGCGTTCTGACACAATTAGCAAAACGACGCTTCGATCCGGTTAAAATCCGCTCAGGATCCATTAGAAATAATGAAGTAGCTCCCAACGAATGCAATGCAATCGTTTCTAACTCGACTCGCGAAGTAATCCCGTTCGCGTATACGTGGGCAAACATCGACGCTGGATTTACCAGCGGCGGTGAGTTGTGCAGTGCATTTAGCCGAAAATTATGGTAATAATAACTTTCGTGCAATTCCCAGGCGTCTCCACTTTCCTGTCCCGTCCCCCGCGGACGGGCCGGAACTTTGTGTCGTGCGTTGCGGTAACGGGATTGCAGAGCTAAAGTTGGAAATTCACTTGGTAATGTCATCACGTTAGATTGTTATGACCTTAAGTCGGAGCAACTATGGACGTTCGCGATGATCGCCCTTGGCATTGCGAGACTAGCCCGGCGTAGCTCCTTTGTCACGGCTGTCGATTGAAACTATTCATCGATCGTCTCGCGTGTATGCAGGATTATTCGGTGGCGGTAGATACGATTGACATCTAAATTACAAGACACCGCACCGTTTTCACTACCTATTACTCCGATTGATGAAAAACAATGGACGCCAGTCGATGCGTGTCGAACAGAAATTTAAGTAAACAATTATAATAATCACAGGAGGACGGTAATATAAATGGAGATATAAATGTAAAAAATGGAAACGGGATAATTAATTATATGTGTTACCCAGTGAGAAACAAGAGAATTAGAATTGCGCGATAAAATTGTCTATGGCGGAATACTCGAAAACCCAATTGGTTTGATTGGATTGAAATTGCTTCGTAAAAATCGATCGTATATCAGAACAGATATATCGGATTGAATCATGGATTCAAGCGAGAGATAAAACGCGCGATGTCTCCCCTGGGCGTCCTTCGCCAGTGAAGCTTTTTAAACGTATATTTAAATCCGCGAAAAACTTTAAATCACCACCCACTACAAAATCAACCAGTCTCGCGCGCGCGCACGGAACGGGATTTGAAAGTTAAACAGAATTTACATTGCACGACGAAGCCCAACCTCAAGTGGGTCACTCGGGGAGCCACGAGAAGACCGACGGGATATCGCGTCTGGACCCAATTAAAGTTCCGTAACTCGCGATCTGTACACGTACATTATTTACCAAGACGACAAAATAAAAAAAAAGGATAAGAAGCGAAAAAATGAAGAAACTTTGCGGGCTATTCCTGTTGGCCTACCGGTTATACAGACGGCGTCGCCCGTCCTGCGAATTCGTGTCGTCTCATTCGGTCCCGTACCTCGCGAAACTTTCTGCGTTAGTTAGGCAAATTAATTGGATAGTTTGACGGAAATGCGATAGCAGAGACGGGACCAGTAGCGAAGGATACTGTCCGGCCAAGTTTCAATTGCGAAGAAAATCGGCGCGAATACGTTCTGGATGACGCTCAGTATGTGACTCTCTATCCTATCGTTCATCGACCCGAAGAGAATGCGCTCGTGAAAGTTCTCCGGGTGGAGGATCTCGTTGGGTTGTCTCACGAAGTAGGTTAACTCGTGCACGGGCACCGTAGGAAATGAAAATTCTGTGGTCAGACTGCCGTTCACGTGATAAATGCAGAGGACCGGAATGCTCGGTTCGTGGAAGAACTCGCGGATGTCCATGTCGCATTTCCACGTCCAATCGTCGTCCGTCAGACCGCTCAGCGTCGTCATATCCTTAACACACTGAATCTGAAAAAAGGTCATGTCATATTTTTCTGAACTCTTGTTATCAGTCCAAATCCAATTTTATTTTTCAACAGCACAGTATATTATTTCTAAAAAGATATTGTTTCAATAAATAAACCATTTAAATATGACCATTTAAATGTAATTATATACTTACATTTATGATAAAAATTATGATAAAAATATTTATGTATGCATTTATGTATGTCTTCGTGGAATAAATCTTTGAATAAATATTATCATAAAACTTTAACCACTCTGGCATTTCTCAAACATTTCAAAAATGTAAATATTTAATCTCGAAATTGTACAAATTGTACTCGAGACAAGTTTAGAACCTTTGTAAATTTAGAGGAAAAGCGTATTAACTTACGAACGTACCAATTCGTTTAATTCGTCCGGTTCATATACCGGTCGTATGTCCACTTCCTCTTCTTCACCTGCAACAATATTCATCTCTTTTTAATAATTTTTGACATAGATCGCGAGCTATGCCGCGGCTACCACTGCGACAAGTGGATTTTGAAAATGCGATCCGATCCGTCCTGTGCGACGTCTATTGTCCGTCGGAAAAGCGACCTCGTAATTAATATAAGGGGCATTGGAAAGAGGAAACAAATTCCACGGGACTGGCCGTTCGTTAGTCGTCAATTGGAACGGCGCGATGGGCCCTCCTAAATCCGCCATCCGGGTTAAATAGAAGACATTCGTTCCAAGAGGATCTCTCGTTCGTTTCGATATCATTCCTCAGGCTTTCTCCGGTCTCGGTCCCATCGCTGGGCCATCGCCGCCGCCCATGCCTTTGCTCTTGGCAATCTAATAGGAACTATAAATCGCGAGTAGCTAGTAAATCGACGGAAGAGGAAACACGTCGCGTCGCGATCGAAACGTTACCGTAGGCCACGTTGGGGCGATTTATTCCACTATGATGGTAGACATTATGCAGATATGACGATGTCTTCTTTGGGAACATGCAACGACTTATCATATGTACTTCTCTCAAAAATCGTCATTATTAAGAAAATTATTAAGTGTTTTAGCAAAATGTGAGGAGAACATAAACTTAAATAGAGTTTTATGATTTTGTGTTAACAATTAACTTGAAAAGAGTGTGCCAATATTTTTCAAATTTTTTTTATTATATTGAGACAATTGTTTTCATTTTTTTTACAAAAGTATTATTAAAATCACGAAAGAAAATAAAATATATATTCGATTTATATAAAATGTTATGTATATTAAATTTTTCTAAAATGTATATATTTATGATGCAATTGAAAGATACGCTGCAATTTTTTATCATTTTAATGCACTGTCAAAGTATAGTATACGCTTACTCCGTCGTATGAATAATTGAATTTGTGTTACTTCGTGAATTAATTGGAGCATTTTACAGCCAAGCACGCCAAGAACAAAATCGCCATTCTCAATCATCCGTACGTAACGTAACGTTAATTGTTTGCGGATTAAGGATTTGTAGATCCCACCGTGTCCGAATAGGAAGAATAGATTTTGAGTAATAACATTAGTTTGCGTTGGGATGGATAAACGCCGGTAGCCTGTCGATAGATCGGTTTATTTAGTTCACCTACTTTTGGACCGTGCAAGTACCACGAGAATTCGCGAGGGAACGAATTAGGTTCATCTTCCAGCGAGCGACGGCTGAAGGGTAAATTGCCTTAATCCCAGGGACAAATTAGGAATCGGCTAACAGAGCGGAATCTGCGATGACCGATTAATCGCTGCAAGTGGCCAGCTTATGCACGATACGTGATAACTATTGAAATTGTTGAAATTGAAATGATGATCGGTTTGTTAATATCAAGTACCTTTCGACTCGTAATCATACATCTGTTTCGTCTTTAAAGTTCATCATGGAATTTATTATTACCGAATGCACTCGCGGGAACAAAGCAGCCATTGTAATTGCAAATTGGATGCGGCCATCGTCGAATTCGTGTCCAAATTCGAGCACGTCCCTGTCGAGCGAACTTGTGCTTCAAATTAGCCGCATTATGGCTAACGTGGTCGTTATTATTGCTGCCTTGTTAATATTTGCAGAAGTATCGAGGAAATTATATCTACCGTAACGACTCGCGTAAACTAGAAAATGAATTAAATAAACCTGCTTAATTAATCAGCACTGCGCACTGTAATGAAGTATTAAAAAATTTATCAGTCGCACGTATCAATCACAGATATCAAGCAGAGAGGTAATGGAATAAGCGTGTTGCTTTGTGGAGATTGGAAATTGTGGTTATCTGAAAAAGGCGGAGATCGGGATAAGAGCGAATAACAGATCGGACTGTCGAGAGTCATGAAAAGCGAAAGTATTTTAATATTCCCTTCACGCGCGAACATTGCTCGTTGCACGATCGATTCTGCAGCATCTTTGGCGGATTTAACGGCGGAATTAGAGAACGCTGTGCGACGAAGTCGTACGAAACAGAGAAGTTGAAAACGACGTATCCGAAAGTGTCGAAAATAGAATAGGCGGACGAAGAAGCGGAACCGGGAAAGGAGCGGAAAATCGGGAAAGTTGAAACGGTGAAGTGGGTGCGTTTAATATTTTTCTCGTAAATCTTACTGGGCGCTTCATCGCTGAACTCGGCGTCCAAGTACTCTCGATGTGGGTCCGGGGGCGGCTTATCTTTAACTTTATTTCTCCGTCTTTGCATTTTATTGACGGGGTGGCCTGCCGGCGTCGTCACCTCTCTCGCACGAGACTGTGCAGCTGATTTATGCGCCCGGTCCGACTGTTACGGCAGCGAATCTTTCAGCGTTTTCGCCGTAGATATCCTGAAGCACCACCGCGAAGTTGCTCGAGAGCAAGAGGAGTGGTCTCGGCAGTAGATCGGCTTTTGGAGACCGATCGTTCGTTGTCGAAGGGGTTCTCAATATTTCACAAAAGATATCGTCGCTGGCTAGCTGTTTATATGGCCGATTACATAAAAGAGGATTTATCGCAGAATATTCGTAAAATATTTGTATTATTCCTGTGAATAATTGAATTTTTTATTATTTAATGTGTTTTATCAAAGATAATGTTTTACACCAGATTAGCATACCAGATTATTAATTTCATTTATTACTTTCATTTAATTTGAATTTTTAATATTGAAATATATATTTATCTGTTATTATATTAAGTTAACTCTAATAAATTAAAGCTTCAGAGAGCTAGTGAAAACTTTCCACTTCGTTGCATACATTACACGTTCCGGTGAGCAAATCGCGGAACTTCAGTTTATTAGGTTCATTGTGGTCGCTTATTCGTTAAAATTACGTGCTTTACCTCATTTCAAAGCTGCTACCTCATTTGCGCTAGAGAATAATCACGTACATTTTGTACACGAGTAATTGCTGTACTTGTTATAAGACGTATTAAACATGTATGCTTAACGTGCAATCTTAATAATGTAAAAAATTTTTATCATATTCGAATCTGCTTTTAGAAATTCATCATTAATAAAATAAGAAAAAGTTAAAAGTTAGAGAGAGAATACAATTTAGAAAAACGTATTTGCAAGCTTTTGCAACGTTTAGTTTATACACGTGAACAGATAAAATTATTTTGTTACTATTGTTTATTAATATTTTTATAGATATTTAAATATAAATTTCGATAATAAATATTAATGACAAATATCAATTATATCACTAATAATAAAATTATCATCATCTCTGCATCAATTCGTAAATTATAATTTATTAAAGTAAAGAATAATATTGAATAGAACATACTCGCTAATTATTAATATCACTAATTGTTATCTTTAATCGAACTTGCTGGCCTTCCAATAAATTCATCTTTATTATTTGATAATATTATCTGTATATCTTTTATTAAACTTAATTCTTTTATTTACTTATATTTATGAGCTTACTGTTATTTTAAAAGTTGATTATAATATGTTTCTTTCAATACAGTAAGAACATTTGTAAACAAAGAGACAAAGGTTATTATAATAGACAAAGGTTATATTAACGTTTTCGATTTTTCCATTTTATTATATACTTGAATATGCAAGTTTTTCTTTATTTTATAAATATATAAAAAATGAATTAAATTGGAAAGATTAGAAATGTTTTTATATTCAATAACGGAATAGACGTTTTCAATAATGTCAGATGAGAAATAAGCGAAATATTTAAAAATATGAAATAAGTGTGCATTTTAAATATATTTAAAAAATTAAAAATAATAAATATATTTAAGATACGTATGATTACATAAAAAATTGAATTTTGAAACTCATAATTTACATTACATTAATTCAGTATCAAATTAAACATTCAGAATAAATTCAATGGAACCTTAAATATGAATTTAAACTTTTCAAAGGATATAACCAATGATAAAAAACAGTCAAATATGTTCGTATCTAATAAATGCTTTAAAAAATTCATTTAATTTTATAAAATAGCATTTAATAGGTGAGACTTTTTCTGTAAGGAAAAGAAGTTGTAAATTTGTATATTACATTTAGTAACAAATTTACAAGTATGTGATTAAGAATCATAATTCCGTTTAACAAGAAATAGATTGCTTCAAAATATAAAATTAAAATATGCACTTTGTTTTACTCTTCAAGTAAACAAAGAATGAATTCATTTCTTTTATTATAGTTTAACAGCAACGGCGACAGGTTACCGCGCATATGAAAATGTCGTAAAGGATCAGTTATTCAAATATCACGTGTAACGACGAAATTTTTCGACTTGGCTGTATGAGTCATGTTCACTGGCACGTGATTCTGCGTAGCGCGTCCATCGCGGATATCCGGTTAGATCGACGGATGCGAGCGAAAGGAGAAATTGCACAGGTCGGTTATAGAGGGGATAGGTCGATGGAACGAGATTAAAAGAGGCAAAGCTACAAGATTAAAAGGCAAAGCGGGACCTACTCCGAATTGAACGTCGTCGGTTGACTGCTCGCGGAGACATTTATATTCCCGGGAAATCGTTATTGACCGATCAGAGAACCCGAATGGCTTTGTCGCGTCGTTTCTCCCTTTCTTTATTTCGCGCACCCTTCCTCTGGAGAGGAACGACATCTGTCCTGCCAAGGGCTTCGTCGCAATATCGTCACACGCACTCGCTGTGAATCGCAATCAGAAAGCGTAATCGTCAAGCGTAAGTTTCAAGCGTAAATATTTCGTGGATCAAATCGCAGGTTTTTCATGTAACATCTTTTAGCAATAATTAAAAAGATGAAATAATGAACTAAAATCTGAGTAATTATATATATGTATATATATATATATATATACAATCGAATTTGCAAGTTCCCTTTTCCATTTTAAGAAAATTAGATTCAGCTACATTTAGTTGGATGTAGTTGTAACCAGAGATGAAAGCGCGGTCCAATATTTTCGGAATTAGACGAAGGATTCACAATAGGAAATGTTCCAGGTTCTTCGTCACAATTTTCCTCGCCAATAGCTCAGCGGTAGTAATAGCTGTCTGAAGTTCTCTCAGAAATATGGGCCTCAAAACGCCAAAACATACCTACAGATCATATAGACCGGAAAGCGAAAATTGAGCTAAAACACGAGACGAGTTTTGCTAGGACTAGTTATGAAACACGGTGCATTGGAACTAGCGAAAATCGAGAACTTACGTAAAATTTAATCGAGTAAAGATGAAAAGACATCAACACACTCATAATCATCATAATCATAAGAAATATCAAAATAAATTTATAATAAGAAACAAGTTGTATGATCACCGTTAAATTAACCGTCATAATGTCACGCAGCGTTGTTTCTATTGCGCGTCATAATAATTTTCACAATCAGGAGGCTCAATTTGCAGTGTGCCTGGATTTTTATAACATACCATTAGTAACTTGAATTTATTAAATCAAAACGTTTGCTTTCATAATCTTTACTGTAATAATTTTACAGGAGATAAATAAAAAGTCGTGCAAATGACAAAAATAACGCGTTTTGAAGTTGGCGCGAGCCATTATCGTATTTCTTGATATTTCTATCAAGAGACAAGTATCTGCAGCACGCAATGTCAATAATGAGAAATTTATTGAAGTGCGAAAAAGCGTGCGGTCACGCTTGTCGATACATTTTGTGTTATCGTGCCGCGGTTTTATATCGCGTACATTCTCCGGCGGCACTTACGGCAGTGTGTCGGCGCACCGCGTACAGGATTTCGAATTTCGATTTAACGTGCTTCTGTGAAAGAGCGAGTAATAGGTGTGCCTACGTACCGTGGCGAACCTCGCAGGTCCACGGTTGTTTGTCGACGAACGGTGGCGTTCCCGCGAACGCTTTTCTTCGGCAATCGATTGCTCGCCGGACGAACGGGAGATTTTCTCTCGAGTGCTTTCGCTGTCTCGTGCACGTTGGGTTCTGGCGTTGGTTCGATCAGACACGAAAGGGGAACTAACTGCTTTTTCTCGCTCGTACGCGCGCGTTCGTATCTGATGAAAAGCCGATTTAATCGTTCGCATCCTGCCGCGACTCTGCTCTCCGAAAAATTACTACTCAAATAACGGGCAACGTTTAAAAGACGTGTAAAAATCGTTAATTCGTTAAAATAGAGTTACTTTTTATATTAATTATTACATTAAGAATTAAATCTTTTTTTAAATCATTTAGTTTCTATATTTTTACTATTAGTTAAATAAATAATACATAAAATATTAAATAAAATAATAAATAATATAGTAATAGCCAGAAATAAGATTCATTTTCTAATAAGAAATATGAACCTTTTTCTTTATTAACAGACAGATGATATCTTCTGTTAATAATTCGTATAAAACGATTATACTTAAATGATAGATAACATCATAGATCGTACATTATTATTTTCACTAGTAGCATCCTGTTGAGTTGCTTAATATTCCGTATGCGCAGTTGATGAAGGCAACTTCTACACGTTCAAAAAGCTGTAAGACGATCTGTCACGTGCTCTATTTCGTATATTTAATACTGTAAGTTGAAGAGTAAGATAGAATATACCATGTACAAAGCGTAGCGATCCATCATACAGGCTGTCGCGTATCATTTGATAGATCGTTTACTGAATATCTGTCAGTAATAATATTCCTTAAACGCAAAGAAGGTTTGACTCAGTATATATATTCCAGTTTATCCTGACGTATACAATTGTTATTGTACAAAATAAATAATAAAATAAAATATTTCGTTTAACATCTAATTATTTCTAAAGAATATTGTTAAAAATATAATTGTGACTAAAATATTTAGTCCTTGTAATCTTATATAGAAATACAAATAATATGAAACTACAAATAATTCTATTTCAGATTTTGCAAAGAATACAGCTTTTTTCAAAAATATATAAATTTCTTTGTTCCAAGACATTATTACTCGATGAATAGCCCGCGTCATATTTTGATATTTTTCGTTCTGAATTCGATAGGGAAAATTTCGTGGAACGTCGAAAAAATGTTTTCCGTTACGTTACGAACGTGACGCACCCTTTTTTCTGTCTGACGCGTGTCAAAATTTTCTTCATGACCGCGAAAAGATTTTTTCCCAGGGATGTTAAGCCGGTAATGTGCCGGACGGTGCATAAAACACATCATTTTATGCCGCGGCGGCACGCTGTGAAAGTGTTGCGCCGCGAGGCTGATACAGAGTAACGAAGGGAGAAAGACCGAAAGAACTTTGCGATCGCAGGAAATTGTGCC